ACACACACACACACACACACACACACTGTGAATACACACACACACACACACACACCCCCCGCTGTGCTGCTCCCACATCCTGCAGGAGGACTATATGGGATGTGAGTCCGCACTGGGACAAAGAGGCGGAGTCTGGGGGCGGAGCCTTCCCGCCAATCAGCCACCTTCTCCCGCCACTCTCCCTCTACCCCAACTTCAGGGGCCTCCTCTTTGGGCTCCAGGGAAGCACGGGGCGCCACCTGGTGGCAATGGAGATAAACGCAGCCACTGTCTCAGCCGCGCATCACGGCGCTATGCACGCTCCCTGCAGCTGAGTAAAGTGTGCGGTGATTCCGCCAAACTAGCGATGTACAGAACCCGAAATTCACTTCCGTCCTGACCTGCCTCCTCCAGGGATGGAAATGAGGGTAAATCCTTGTGTTGCTGGGCTTGGGCAGCTGGTGGTTTGGGGAAGGTATTGAGGAAGCAAGCTGATTTTGCTAAAAATATACTGTATGTTCCTTCTCAATAGAAGGAACTTCTTTTTTTAAAAAAAAGATTTTATTGGGGAATTGGGGGAGGGGAACAGCGTTGGGGAATCGGGGGAAGGGGAACAGACAAGTTGCTGTCCTTTGGTTCTTCAGTCTAATTGTGGAGGACGTCGCTTCACTGGCCCATGTTGGTGTTACCATTGCGCTCTTCCCGGGTGAGGCACATCGGTTGCCAGCCTCTGGACGATGGCTCACTGTGGCTCTTGGCAGCTCACGCCGGCTGCTGGCCATTCACGCTGGCTGCTGGCCACTCACGGTAGCTCATGGCAACCCACTGCAGCAGGGGCTGCAGCCTAGCGGTGGCCGGTGACTCACGGCAGCCCAGCTCCAGGTCGAGCTGCTGTTCACCATCTTACCTGTAGAGGGCAGTGTCACTGGCCCTCATGTGGGATCCGAACCAGGGACCTGCTGCACAGAGCTGGCGTCCCAAGCCAGCTCTTAACCAGCGCTCCACTCGGCCGGCCCTAGAAAGAACTTCTTATTCCTGTCTTAAATCCTGCACGCAAGAGGCGGATTATTGCGGAGCCGCTCTCCCCGCTTGGCTTGGTGCTGGGCAGCTCTTACCTTCTTCCTCGTCCCTCTACTCGCGGGCTCAGCTTCCTCTCGGGAGCCCGGCTGCACCTCCTTCCTGGTTTCCCTCCCAAGCTCCCCAGCGTGCCCTGCGGCAGCCCTGTGGCCCCTCCACCTGGGCATTTGGCAGTCCCCTCCCACGGAACCTGCCCCCAGCGTCAGTCCCTCCTAACCTGCCCTCTCCCACATTGTCTGCTTCAGTGAAAGTGGTCCCTCTTGCCCCCAGTGGTCCAAGCTGAAACCCCCGCTCACGGTTCACTTCTCCCTTCTCAGCCACCACAAGCAGGTGTCGCCAAGCCTCGCGCTGTCTGTGTGACCAACAAGGGTGTGTGTGTGTGTGTGCGCGCGCGCGCACACACAGGTTTCACTCACTCATTCAATACATGCTGTCAAATGCCACCAGAAACGGTCCTAAGTCCTGAGGATACAGCGGTGACCAACATCTGTATCCCCAGTATATTCTAGTGCATGCGTGTGTGTGTGTGTGTGTGTGTGTGTGTGTGTGTATGTTGGGGGGCGGGGATAAGAGGGGACGGAGCAGGGGAGCAGATGACACAGAAACAAACAAGTTCATTCATAATACCTTGCATGGCAGTAGGTACTAAGGAGAAGACAAAAGCAGAGTGGGGGCCACACCCCATATCAGGTGGGTGCTGCCCTCACAATTCCCTTGCCTTCCTGGGGGGCTACTAACCCCATGCAAGGACTCCTCCCCTTCCTCCTCACCCCTCACCCCTCACCTTTGCTCTATACCTCCCACCAGGCGCCCTCCTGTGTGGATTCCCTCATCACCTCGCTGGGGGTCCCACATCCACACCTAGCCACACAGCAGCAGCTGCATGGCCTGCCCACCCCCGACCATGCCTTTTGGACTGAGTTGTTGAGGAAGGAAAGAGTAAGGATGGAGGGGGAGAGGGAGAGAAAGTAGCTCCTCAGCTTGATATTTTGAAAAGTTTCAAAAGCTGAAATAGCTGTGCCGTGAACGCCATATGCTCTAAAGACATCTTAAGATGGGAGGAAAACAGCCTGGCTGAAAGCTAATGAAGGGCAGGGAGGGCCCTGACTATAAATAAAGGCAGGGTCTCCATTTGATAGTCTTTGGGCTAATGTGGTGATTCTCAATCTTGGGTCTACATTAGAATAATTGGGGGAATTGAAAATTTTTTAAACTTTATATTGAATAGATCATCTGTATTAGTTTGTTATTGCTGCTATAACAAAATAGCACACCAACGGGGCAGCTTAAACAGAAATTTATTTTCTCTCAGCGCTGGAGGCTGAAAGTCCAAGATCAAGGTGTTGGCAGGTCCAATTTCTCCCAAGGTCTCTCTCCTTGGCTTGCAGATGGCCGCCTTCTCTCTGTGTCCTCCCTTACATGGACTTTTCTCTATGTGTGGACATCCCTGCAGTCTCTCTCTCTTCTTATAAGGACGCCAGTGCTATTGAATTGAGATTCCACCCTTATGACTTCATGTTATCTTAATTACCTCCTTAAAGGGCCCATCTCCAAATACAATCACATGAGGTCAGGGCTTCAACACACGAATTTTGTGGGAACACGAATCGGTCCATAACATCATCCATACAGAAAAGCACACAAATCCTAAGTGTGCAGCTTGATAAGTTTTCACAAACTGTATTAACAGCATTCAAATCAAGAAATAAAACATAGGGCCGGGCGAGTAGCGCGATGGTTAAGAACTGGCTTGGGATGCCAGAGGGCCCCGGTTCGGATCCCACATATGAGGGCCAGTGACACTGCCCTC